TTCCAGGGCACATGCGAGTTTGCAAAACACTATGTCGTATTGAAATTCTTCGATTATTTCTCGGTTTTATTGATTCACGCGTGTTTCATGGGAAAACGAGGGGATTAGAAATTCCAATCGAACAGTTGATGAGCGGCTGGAAGGTCGACAGGTCTCGAATGAGCTGGAAATTTATCCTCGCTATGTGGGGGATCAATTAACACTTGATAATCTTTCTGCAATTGCGAAATATGGAAAATTCCGATCGACGAATAAACAAACTATTGACATTCCAATTTTTCCAGGAACTGAAAATATTTATTTCGTTCTTTTTCTACATAAAAATAATTGTTCAGCTTCCAAACGTTGGATTAGCCCAACTAAATGGGAGTTGAAGGTGTCTAGGGATGAAGAAGAGACTTAATTGCTTCTCTTGAAATGGCTGTGCTCCCCCTAACGAATTTTCGCAGCTATTTTAAGGCCCTCTTCTCTGACGAGAACTTTTTCACCTTTTGTCAGTCCCATTACACGCATTCAGGATCCGTTGGGCGCCTGTGGTGAGGGTGGGCCGTGCAAGGCAAGAAGAAAAAGCCAAATTTCTAAGGAGTAAAAAAAAGAAAATGATTTTTCGAACCTTAAAAGAAAAACGAAAATTATCTTCACGGACATCTCTCTGTTTTTTCCTTGAATTGTGCGTCGAAATGTTCGAAGGAAACTTGAAAAAATGCGCAGCCTCTTCGCTGCAGGCACAATTTTTCCCTCGCATTCAAACGTCGAGTCTTTAGCAATGGCATCTTCTGACATTTTTTCCCCTGGATTAATTCCAATGTACCTGGATTCAAACGAGCGCATCGCGTGTAAATTCACAACATCCGTCAGTGATTTGCAGGCATCGGAGGATAAAAGAAAATTATGTTTCAAACAAAATGCCGAAAGGTCGACTGGATGACGGGCTCTTGAGATCATGATCAATCACCCGGATCTCAGGGCAAACATCAACCCAAGAGGCAGACGTATTTTCCCTCAGGCTCCAATCGTACAGTTTTCTCGCCTCGAGGGGCCATATCAGACGATAAGCGAGACGATCGTACTACACGTACGTTTTTCATATCAATTCTCGATATGTAGTCACACGTGTTACCTACTTTGGACTGCGTCGTACTAAATCAAGTTGAAGACGAGGAAAATATAAAATTCTCGCTGAATGAGACAAAATGGAGAGAACAAAAATTTTAGATTTTCAATTGTGGAATTTATTTATTAAATTGCGGGAGATTAATGAATAATCGGAGTTATTCATGTTATATTTTTAGAAAATTTGAAACATTAAAAAATATTTCATAATAAAAATTATCAGGATAAAAGCTTAATTACTGACAAATTATTTATGGAGAGATCGCAACATTAAAGACGTAATTTTCCGATTATTTATTTATAAGTTCAATGATTTTTTGATTCGTGAAATGTTTTCTAACGCTTCAAAATGAAGAGTAAAATTCAAAGGATATCCCTAGTTAAAACGAATTAATTTGTCAATGAAATGCCGGGAGATTAATGAATAAAGAGGGTTATTCATGTTATATCTTTGGCAAATTTTAAATATTAAGAATATTCTCAGAACAAAATATTAATTACTAACAAATTATTTATGAAGAGATCGTAACATTAAAAAACGTAATTTTCCAGTTATTGAAGAAGTTCAATGATTTTTTGATTCGTAAAATATTTTCTAACGGTTCAAAATGACGAATAAAATTAAAAAAATATTCCTAATTAAAACGAATTTATTTCCCAACTAAAAACAAAGGCTGGAATAAAAATATAAACTCGATTGGATACAAGCCATTTGAATCACCTTAGAAAATCATTGAATTATCCACATATCACCGCGTACAAACGTAGTCCTGGAGACACCAGCGAGGAGTGGAGGGCAGGGAAAACCGGTCGGCGTGGAGACAAACACGCAAAGGTGACGTATACCCTCCTCCTGCGCACCTCATCTCTCTCTAACAATTTTTCTCTCGTTTTTTCTCTCTCGTCATTTACTGTACGTTGGGTGGGGTGAGGGGGGGGGGGAATTGTGTACTCCTTGGAGAGGTTAAGCCCCCTCGGTTGGCATCTGGAGTGACGACGCGTCGCTAACACATAAATTCCAGGGTTACGGAACTCTTTGCCGCCACAAATTTGTTAATCGCCGTTAATAATTCTTCTTTCTTTTCGCTTTTAAAATTCTTCTTGGGAGGAAGAAGGGGGAGGGGTAATATACAGGTAGAGTTCATTCTTTTTGGGTCTTTTTGAAAGATATTTATGAGGGAGAAAGTCGAAATTAGGAGAGAAAATTAGAAAAATTGCTTGGAATTTGTTTGTAATTGTTAAAAGTCCGGGAAAAAATGCGAAATAATTTGAAGAGACAGGTGTACCACTCGTCATGTCAACGATACAGGAAAAAAAATTGAAGCAATTGCGGAGAGAATTGAAATAAACAACTGGTTTTCAGATCATGAAAGTCGTGAGGGGCTTCACAAACGGTTTGATATCATAAAGTTTAGAATCGAAACGAAATCGCTGGGGGAATCGGTTTTGCTGCGCGTACGCGATCGTTAAAAGGGGGGAAGGGGGGATAAAAAATGAATGGTTGGGAGATATTTATTTAATGGAGGAATTGAGCGTATTTGTTGGGAAATAATGCAGGATGATTTTAAATGCTCATTACGATTGATGAGGATTAAGATTAATTCGATTCGGCTGTTCATTTCTGTGAAACTCATTTTTATTCTTCTGGAAAATAAAATAGAAAATGGAATTTTCGTTGTCAGGTGGGGCAATTAACACGAGATAATTATCCTTCATTGCGAAAAGCGAAATAATTCGTTTCTACGAAGAACTGAATTTATCTTGCGTTGCTTTACATTTTTAAATGATAGGAGGTGGTTTCTAAATGCTCATTATAAATAATTTCATTTATTCTCGAAAATAGAATAAAAAATCAGGAGAAATTTTCGGAATTCAGATTTTTTTCCTCTTTCGATGATTGACCACTTGACTCGTCCTCAAATATTGTCCCACCGTGGGTGGGTAAATCCTCGCGACATATCGAAAGACTCCATCCACCTACAACCCAAGGAATTATACATAAATGCAGGGATATTGCTGGAGTAGTCACGTACTAACCGCAAATGGACTGAATAAACAAATTAAAATTTCTCAGAACGATCTGTTTTCAGTCAACATGCCATTAGTGCTTGAGTACAATTGCGTAATCCCTGAGTACACGGTTACATCGGGATGAAAAAAAAAAAAATAAAGATGAGGAGTGGATTTTAGTGGAGTCGATATCGCCGATCCGGGTCGTTAGTTCACTCGTAAACGGGTGAGAAAAGACCGCACGAAGGTGAAACTCCCGAGAGGGAGCAAATTATGTTTTGACGCTTTAGACTGACTTTTTGGAGCAGGTGCGGGAAAATGGACCTCCTTAAATTATCAATATCTCCTAAACAAATAGCGTGATTTGCACGAGTCAAGCTTCATTTCAAAGTCTGAAAAAATACCTGCGAACTGAAGAAAAAACGTCGAAATTCACTCTACCGATCTCCAGTTATTGTTCATTAAAAATGTCCATTTGTAATTTTTTTATTTACCCGCGCGGATAAATCAGTTAATTTCATTTTCTATTCATTAAAAAAAATCAGTAATTCTCATATTCTAATTCAAACAGAAAATCCCTCGGATAATGTCCAATTTTGTCTCTTAAAAACTGAAGTGTTTCCTCTTGTCACTTCAAAATAAAAAAAAAGTCAAATAAATTTACCCCGAAACGGTATCAATTTCACCTTTTCCTCGCCCAACAATGACAACTCGTGAAGTGTCACCTCTCGACGAGTGACAACCGAATTTTGCCTCTTTTTGTAGTCGAAAATTTTGCCTCATTGTTCTGTGCGTGTAATCCCTGTTACCGCGCGCTTACATCCCAAAGAAAAGAGTGAAAAAACGAAGATAAAGGAAAAGAACGAACAGCAGGACTCACCAAACAATGTAAGAGACCGTCGGAGGGGTGGGAGGAGGAACGGTCAATCCACTTGAGTGGTACAATGGGTGGAGAGCCAGCAGGGGTGAGGACGGGTCCCAGGAAGGTCGAGGGTACACTGGAATTTTTCGGGGTCAGACCACATTACAAAGCTATCGAGTGCGTCTATGGGTGAATCCCACAAAGGCACCTGCTGCAGACGAAGAGACAACCCCTCGACCTTTCACAGTCAGGGGTGGAGACAAGGCTCTTTCAGGATGAAAATAAAAATAAAGGAGAACAATAAACCCCCACTCGACTCTGAAAACCATAATTTTTTGAGTCAAGTAAACACTTCTTAATGAGAAATTGATATCGTTCCGACATTCACTTGAAGTCATGCCCACGAACTAACATTATTGATTCAAAAATTAATTTGTTCTTAAAATTAATGTTTTCTAAAACCTCAAAGCCCATGAGACAAAACATTATTGCATTTTTTGAAATGAAGGAATTCAGCTGCAAAAATCATCGAAGAAACCAATGCTATTTCTTAAATTCACTTACGCAATATGCATCCAACATTCCTGAAACATGCTGGGAACCACCTAAACCTCAAACCCCTGTTCTTTATCTAATCGCGACACATGTTTTCTTTTTTATTCAACTCCAGATGCACCTTGAAACGCCCAAGATTCAAAACTCTCGCTCAAAGCCAATCCCCCCCCCCTCCCCCTTCCCTGCCCAAAACTGGACCCGAAAAGAGCAATAGTGTACTTTACCCAACATCTTCGAAAATCATGTTGCCTCGTAGGCCCGAGAATATAGAAAAGGTAGCATACCTGAGTTTTAGAAGAGAATAAGACAGTGGGGAGGGGAAGCGGCCGGCTTGGAGGAGTCGATTGGAGGTGGAAAAGACGGTAAGCATCGTGGTGGTGGGATTGGTTGGAGAGGGAACCAGGGCCCAGCGTGGACCTGTACTCCATGCTCGTATCCCAAAGACTCGCTCCGCAAGGTGAGACGCGCGCGGAACCCATTTTTTTTCACTCCGCGGAGTCCATGATTTTGTGTTTACTTTGTTTACATCGATTGTTGTTGTCATTTTTTTCGATAAAACGGGGACTTTTGTTCATTATGCACTGAGAATTTTTGGATTTTGTAGTTTTTCGATGCTAGTGTTGACATTTCGATGTCATTTTTCATGATGACAGCATTGCAATGACAGCAGTTGCCTATTTTTCATGAGTGAATGTTCAAGTTTGCATGATTGATTCCAAGTGAGTGCAGTGATTCTGGGATTTTTTAAAATTTCGGAGCATAATTTTGGTTTGATTGGATACTTTCCACTTGGGGGTACACGGAAACCGTCAATCGTCGTAGAAACGGTGAGTGTTACGTGCATGGAGGGAAATTCATGTTACATATTCGTTGAAAAATTAAATTCCCATTGCGAACACTAATTTTTGTCCACCAATCAAAACTTCCCCTATTATTCTTTTAAAAAATCATCAGCATTCGTTGTGCTCCCCTTCTTCCATTTCCAAATGATGTCATGGCGCTCAGAAAAAGGTCATTTAAATGAAAATAGAAATTTCCCAAGAGTAAAAAATTCAAACAGAAATTGCGCAAGTCTGGAATTTTAGTGGGGCCATAACACTAAAAATAAGAAGAGGGGGATTTGGGCCTTATGTTAAGCAGAATGGTTAGTACACAATACGGGGACTTGAACGACGGGGTAAGAAGGCAGGCGTTGCGTTGGCGGTATCTGTACATTTCGAAAAACATTCATTCGTTTTCTTTTCATCCTCACTTGCCCTTTTTTCCCCTGACTCCTGCAAAACTCGTGTACCTCAGGGAACGATGACATCTGCCATGTCTATATGAGGCCCAGAGTAGTTTTGCATTGAGGTAAAAGAGTGGAGAATCTGGAGATAAAGGGAACCGGACTTCCTTTCAGAATTCCTTTTTTCATAATTTTGGAAAAAAATTCTTTGCAAGAAGTTGCCATTGTGATAGCATTTACAATGTATTTTTGATTTTCGTAAATTTTGAATGAAGTTGATGATTAGTATCACAAGTAACAGTTATAAAAATGGAGTTTATTTTCCCACAAATAGCCGGTTACAAGTGAAGCGTGACATTTTTATTCCCTCGACGTAACTAAATGAGAAATAAAAAATCATGAATATCTCATAAGTCTGTCGCTGAAGGCCTCCAAGATGTAGGAGAGGCCCAACCCTAGACCACAACGATGAGGAATGAAAGAGGGCGAGGTTATGGCGAGCAGTCAAATCGAGTTAGATCCCCAGGTATGGCCAGACAAGTGAGGATAAAACGATGATTCTTCATCCTCGTAGAAATATATTCTACCTTTTCTCGCTTCATCATCTAGCTAGATGGGTTTCGTATACGCAATACCATCTTTGGATTGTGTTGCATTGCGTACCCTGTACTTTGGCCCGAGGCTGAGTTTCAACGAGATTCTCGGATGGGTACAGCAAGATTTGTTGTTGTTGGATGGATACTGCCAATTGGATGCAGTCACTCATCAGGGATATTCTTCATTCAATATTGTTTGCAAATTGGGGAAAAATTGTTCAAGTCCTGTCAGCAGAAGCCTCAGAACAAATGCCTCGGATTTTATAGCTAGAATTTTCGCTCGTTCTCATCGCCTTCATCCTTCCAATGTTACGATTGAGTTAAAATGTTCAAATTCACGCTCTAAAGTTGAGCCGGCCGTCCGTAAAAAAGTCATCCCTAAATCAACGAGTCTGTGGTCCCCTGGGCTTCATCCTTTCCAAGCTTCTTCAAAATTTAATTATGTTTTTACAATGCCCTCAGAAGAAGTGTGTCACGTATAATCCCTTTTAAGACTGAAAAAAGAAAAACTCTTTTCACGATCGTAATGAATAGCATTAAGATTCCTCGTTAATTAATATCCGCGAATCCTTTCTCTCGAGTCTTTAGAAGTACGTGGGCTCGAGGGGAGAAATATATTGCCGGTTGCATTAATCCAGCGAGCTAGGTGTCTGTACATCTTTCCTGTCTTGGATGCTGGAAAGGTCCTCAAGCCGAGGGAAAGGCAATACTGACGTCAGCCTGGTGGAATGAGGTTAAACACGAAGGTAAAGTCGAGCTCGTTCGTTCAATCGTGGCTCTAGTCGCACTCTATAAAATCATCTTCAGAGTTGTTATCATGATTCCGAGATGAAAGGTATCGAGGTTCGTTACGAAAAGTTGTTGGAAGACGACTGCAGTTTTCATGGCGATGACCTCTCATCATCTTGAGATATATTTGAAACAGGGGAAGGAAGATTCCCAATTCCATCCCAAACAACTCGATTAACCGTTTAAAAAATAAGACGAAAGGACTCAAGTTTCCTTACAAAAGTTGTTAAAAGACGATTTCAATTTTCATGGCGACGATTTCTCGTCACCTTGAGGTTCATTTGGACTAGTTGATCAAAGGAAAACATTCAATTCCACCCCCAACACTTCAATTAACCATTTCAAACTCATCTTTGCAAAATTTTCATCATCAGTCTAAGACGACAGGATTCAAGTTTCCTTACAAAAATTGTTGAAACACGATTGCAATTTTCATGGCGACGATTTATCATCATCTTGAGGTGCATTTGGACTAGCTGATCAAAGGAAAACGTTCAATTTCATCTTCAACACCCCAATTAACCATTTCAAACTCATCTTTCCAAAATTGTCATCATCAGTCTCAAGACGACGGGATTCAAGTTTCCTTACAAAAGTTGTTAAAAGACAATTGCAATTTTCATGGCGACGATTTCTCATCATCTTGAGGTGCATTTGGACTAGCTAATCAAAGGAAAACATTCAATTCCATCTCCAACACTTCAATTAACCATTTCAAACTCATCTTTCCAAAATTTTTATCATCAGTGTAAGACGAAAGGATTCAAGTTTCCTTACAAAAGTCGTTGAAAAACGATTTCAATTTTCATGGCGACGATTTCTCATCACCTTGAAGACTATTTAGATCACGTGATCGAAGGACAATGTTGAATTACATTCTAGGAAACTGGACTAGCCATTTCAGCATCACCTTTTCCAAAATTTTGATTTATCTCCCGAAGAGATCCATGCCTTTGTCTCTCACGAGTTGCAGCATAATGTACATTATCCAGAGGTCCACAAACAGTATCGTTCCACCACACGTTTATGTATACTTCGAGCCAGGTCCCAGGTACTGGTCTCGAGGACTATCTCGCATGGATCTTTTTTCGAGGTCTTAACGTCGTGAAGCCGCTCTCGTGGTTGACCCCCGGGGCTAAAGATTACGAGGGCTTTCGAGGCTCTCTCGGGTCTCTAGAATTCAAACCATCTACCTTCTTAACCTACCCCCCTACCATGTTCATTTTTTTCTCTCCTCTCCTTCGTCAGAAATGCAACGCTGCACTGATATATATCCTTACCTGGTTTCCACTACTGCGTTTACTTTTTGTTCCTCCTTTCGTGTTTTTTATTCTCTGGAAAGAAAAGAGAAGAAATGAAAGAGAGGAGACGTGCGGGTAATCCGAGAGTCCTACGAGAAATTATATGCTGTGGAAATATTTCGGGTGGAAGAAATGATATTGTGTTACATCTGGGAAAAATTATAATTCATTACAAAAATTCCTAGGATCGTTCAATTAAGTTGTGAAAGATGTTGTGAATGCACTGGCTAATGATCGAGGCATGAAAAAAAATACTAATGATTAAACCACAATTAAGTTGATTACAGCATTAAATGCCCTTCACGTTCCATTCGTGTAGATAATTGAATCATTTTTTTCCGTGAAATTTGCCATTAATTTGATTTTACAAAGCAAATTGCGTCGAGATAAATCATGCAAATGTAAAAAAATTCCATAATTCAATAATTCTCCGCAGGACCGATCGAACGTTCATTAGCGAAACGATACTCAATCCCATGGTCTGAAGAAATTGCGTGGGGTGTCCGTCAAGGCCTTCATCGAGTTACTAGTAACAGACGTTAGACCCAACGCCAGCCATAACAGGAGGCGTCCCCAGTCCCTCATACGCGCACTCAGCGCCACTCATGTGCATACATGAAATCAATAAACACTTTTTATGCTCTTGTTGACAAGACATCGGTCATAAATCACGGAAATCGGAGAAAAAAAAAGTAGGAGACCACAAAAAATTTAAATTGGAAAGTCTCGAAGCGTGACCAAGCGTCCGAGCGGGCGCTGATTGAGACACTGAAACTCAATATAACTTTGTTAAGAGATCCGTTAATTAGTCCTTCGCTCGTTTTAGGTCTCCAAGGCGAGAAACCTCGATCGATTCCAGCTAAAACCATTGAATTCCCTCCATTTTACGAAACCGTTTCACTACAAAACAATGAAAAAACCGTACATTTCTTTCAACAACTGCCTTGAAATTTGTTTCTTTTGTAAACTCACTTTTACCGGTATGTTAATGTCATTCTTTCGAATCCCACCGGCATCGTGAATTCAGGGAGAGGTCTCGAAGAGCTTCAGAATTCGGAGCTAGTCCAGTCTGGTTTTTTTTTCCACAAACTTCAGCCAAAGGAGGGGTGATGTTGCTTCTAATTGACGAGAAAGAAAACTACTCGCTCGAATGCTGAGAAACGATTCGTGTCTTTCGACATGTGTCCAAGGTGTCTGGGATCATTTCTTTCTCATCTTATTAAGAATTCTGATTAACTAAATGAGGTTTAGTTATTGAATTTTTTATTATTTATTCATCAATCAGTGAGGATGAGAAGTTTTTGGTGATCTTTGGTGTATCAAACCGGCCACAACCACTTGACTTTCATGACAATGTATATTTCCACTTCTTTCTGCTTATTGCGTCAGGTAATTTCGCTCCTCCAAGTGAATACAATTTCCCGCGATTTATATTTGTTTCGACACCTGATTTTCCTCAAGAAGGCACCCACACTGACACCTCCGTCAGTTCCATAATCATCGGTCGAATCCACCAATCAGTGCGAAGAAATTCTCCTCAACAAGTTGATACCAATGAACTGTATCAAAGAATCCCAGTGGGCGCAGTGTGTGAGGAAGCAATCAGGGGAAGGTCAAACCCTGCAGAAAGATTGAACCATTACAGAAAACGGTAACCGCCGGTTTTAGTAGTTTCCTGACATTTTCGGTGTAGGCGTTTGTTGCTTCAGTGTTCAAAGGAAGGGATAAAAAAAAGCCAAGAGGATAATGCACACCCGTACCGCTGCAACCGGTGACATCATCAGCAAGCGTATAAAGTCAGCTGATGCCGTCACGACTTAGATGGAGCGAAAGAAAACCAATGCAAAACCAGCATGATCGGTGGAACGACCCCAAGGCTAGATGTATACAGCATGAGCACGTTAAAACCCAAAATC